GTCCCTCGCTGCGTGTGCCCCCGTGCGTGTGTGCCGCTGCTCCCACACCGTGCCGTCGCCTCTCCCTGCGTTCCTCTGCCGTGGGCATTAGGTCTGCTACACAGCTTCTAACTGCTTTTTGAACCCGCAAGGTTAATCCAGCGCCATGGGGAAAGAGAAGACGCACCTGAACCTCGTGGTGGTCGGCCACGTCGACGCCGGCAAGTCCACCGCCACTGGCCACCTCATCTACAAGTGCGGCGGCATTGACAAGCGCACGATCGAGAAGTTCGAGAAGGAGGCGGCCGAGATCGGCAAGTCGTCGTTCAAGTACGCCTGGGTGCTCGACAAGCTGAAGGCCGAGCGCGAGCGCGGCATCACGATCGACATTGCGCTCTGGAAGTTCGAGTCGCCCAAGTCCGTGTTCACGATCATCGACGCCCCCGGCCACCGTGACTTCATCAAGAACATGATCACCGGCACGTCCCAGGCCGATGCCGCCATCCTCGTCATCGCGTCCTCCCAGGGCGAGTTCGAGGCGGGTATTTCGAAGGACGGCCAGACGCGCGAGCACGCGCTGCTCGCCTTCACGCTCGGCGTGAAGCAGATGGTTGTGTGCTGCAACAAGATGGACGAGAAGTCCGTGAACTACAGCCAGGCGCGCTACGAGGAGATCGTGAAGGAGGTCTCGGCGTACCTGAAGAAGGTCGGGTACAACGTGGAGAAGGTGCGCTTCATCCCCATCTCCGGGTGGCAGGGCGACAACATGATCGACAAGTCCGACAAGATGCCGTGGTACAAGGGCCCCACCCTGCTGGAGGCACTCGACATGCTGGAGCCCCCGGTGCGCCCCAGCGACAAGCCGCTCCGCCTGCCGCTGCAGGACGTGTACAAGATCGGCGGCATCGGCACGGTGCCGGTGGGCCGCGTGGAGACGGGCGTGATGAAGCCCGGCGACGTGGTCACGTTTGCCCCCGCCAACGTGACGACGGAGGTGAAGTCGATCGAGATGCACCACGAGCAGCTGGCGGAGGCCACGCCCGGCGACAACGTCGGCTTCAACGTGAAGAACGTGTCTGTGAAGGACATCCGCCGTGGCAACGTGTGCGGCAACTCGAAGAACGACCCCCCGAAGGAGGCGGCCGACTTCACGGCGCAGGTGATCATCCTGAACCACCCCGGCCAGATCGGCAACGGCTACGCGCCGGTGCTCGACTGCCACACCTGCCACATTGCGTGCAAGTTCGCCGAGATCGAGTCCAAGATCGACCGCCGCTCCGGCAAGGAGCTCGAGAAGAACCCCAAGTCGATCAAGTCCGGTGACGCCGCCCTCGTGCGCATGGTGCCGCAGAAGCCCATGTGCGTGGAGGTGTTCAACGACTACGCGCCCCTCGGCCGCTTTGCCGTGCGTGACATGCGCCAGACGGTCGCCGTCGGCATCATCAAGGCGGTCACGAAGAAGGAGGGCGGCGCCGGCAAGGTGACCAAGGCCGCCGTCAAGGCCTCCAAGAAGTAAGATGGGGGCAACGGCTGTGCGCAGACTTTGTTTTATAATTTATAACTCTTATTTATATAAATCATTTTGCCACGCTGTGCGGTTAACATTTCCTGCTGCTTCGGCTTGGTTTGGTTTGTTTCTGCCTTTCTCTCTCTGTCCCTGCCTCTCGCCGTCCCTCGCTGCGTGTGCCCCCGTGCGTGTGTGCCGCTGCTCCCACACCGTGCCGTCGCCTCTCCCTGCGTTCCTCTGCCGTGGGCATTAGGTCTGCTACACAGCTTCTAACTGCTTTTTGAACCCGCAAGGTTAATCCAGCGCCATGGGGAAAGAGAAGACGCACCTGAACCTCGTGGTGGTCGGCCACGTCGACGCCGGCAAGTCCACCGCCACTGGCCACCTCATCTACAAGTGCGGCGGCATTGACAAGCGCACGATCGAGAAGTTCGAGAAGGAGGCGGCCGAGATCGGCAAGTCGTCGTTCAAGTACGCCTGGGTGCTCGACAAGCTGAAGGCCGAGCGCGAGCGCGGCATCACGATCGACATTGCGCTCTGGAAGTTCGAGTCGCCCAAGTCCGTGTTCACGATCATCGACGCCCCCGGCCACCGTGACTTCATCAAGAACATGATCACCGGCACGTCCCAGGCCGATGCCGCC